CATATCTATGTCTCTGGGCCCAGCTCAGGACACAGGGGAGAGGAAATCAGGGCTCACAGCCTGGCACTACCACTCCCGGGCTGGACAACCTCAGGCGTCTCTCTCAGCCTTGAGACTTATGTAAAACGGGGGACATAATCTCTCCCTTCACAGGTGACTGAAAATCTAAACTCCAGACTTTATTTGCACTTCCCCAGTTTTCTAATTAACATCCCCTTTCTGTCCCAGGACCGCATCCAGGATCCCACATTGCATTTGGTTCTCACATCTCCTTAGGAGCCTCTGGTCTGTGACAGTTTCTCAGTCTTTCCTTGTTTTTCGAAGGGGACTGGCCGGGTATCCTGCAGAATGCCCTCCAATCTGGGTTTGTCTGATGTTTTGATCATGATTAAACTGGGGCTATGGGTCTTAGGGCAGAAAACCAGAAGTAAGGTTCCCTCCTCATCACATCACATCAAAGGTCGCACGATCACACACCCACTTGGGGATGTCAACTTGGTTAAGGTGGCGCCTGCTAGGGTTTCCCACTGTAAAATAACTACACCTCCCCTCCCCTATTGCATTTTTTGCAAGTGAGTCACTAAGTCCAGCTCACCCTCTGAGTTCGGGGAGATTATGCTCCATTTCTGGAGGGGGAGTGTCTACATATATTAAGTGAAATTATTCTGTAAAGATTGGTCTCTCTTTCATTTATTTTTATTTAACAAAATAAAAACAATAATTTATGATTGCTACATCGGTCAGTCAACCAACCAACCAATCAATTTATTTTGGTGTGGACTCTTTCTGGATATATTACATAAATTAAGGAAACCCCGATAACTCTCCTTCTCCTGCCCTTCTGCCCCATCTCCTGGTCTAAGAGTGACCAAAAATCTTTTTTCCTCCTAAACATTTAGCAAGATAAGTTTAGATGTTTTTCCTGATTCTAAAATGAAACTGTGCTCAAATAAAAACATTTGACAATATAGAGAAATATCGAGAAAATAAAGATTTTCTGAATCCCACTACCTAAGGGTGTCTTTGTCATTTTTTTCTTTACTTATATTTTCAAATTCACACACTTGAGATCATAAGCTGCTGTGGACTGACTTGTGTCCCCTCCCCACAAATTCATATGTTAAAAGCCTAACCCCTGAAGTGACAGTATTAGGAGGTGGGGCTTTGTGGAGAAAATTAGGGTTAGACGAGATCATCAAAGTGGGGACCCCAGGATGAGGTTAGTGTCCTTACAAGAAGAGACACCAGAGAGCTTACTCTCTCCCCACCATGTGAGGACACAGGAAGTGGGCCCTCACCAGACCTGGCCCATGTTGGCAGCCTGATCGCAGACTTCCAGCCTCCAGAACTGTGAAAACAGAGATTTCTGTTGTTTAAGCCGCCAGGTCTATGGTCTTTTGTAACATCAGCATAAGCAGACTAAGACAGGTTTATCTCACCTTGATTCCTTTTTAAAAATCAATTATCCTCACTCATCATTATATGGTGAGTATTTCCCCACATCCTTAAATACTCTCCTAACAGATGATTTTTAATGACGACATGATATTCCATCTTATGGAGAGACCATACGGCAACCAGTCGCTTCCCATTTTGTTCTATTTTTAAATAACTCTGGGGTGCACGTCCTGACATAAATCTTCGACGGCACTGCTGATTAATTGGGTTAGGCTTTTTCCAAAAGGCACTTTAACTAGGAAGCCAAGTGGGAAAGAAGAGACAAATCAAAAATGGGAAAACCTGGAAAGAGCTGCTACTGTTCCCTCTGCCAAGAATGTTCTTCCCCAAACATCTGCCTGGCTCCCTCCTTCTCTGTTTTCAGGTGAAGCCCAAGAGAGAGCCTGAGCATCTCTTAGATCTGCTTGCTGTTTCTAGAATGCTACACTCAGACAAGGTCTTTATGCAAATTAGAACACCAAGTCCCCTTCCCATTCCTTTACATTTGTCAACAAGTTATAATAAAGGTGGAAATCTATGTTGTGTATGGTATGAATGGCACTCCCGAAATGTGGTGACTTGGGAAGTGTGTGACATGCACAACTTTCCACGGCGGCTCCTTTTGCGTTCCACTCCCCAGGTGGCACTCTCAAACTCCCTAAAATGAGCCACTGAGCTAAAGGACAGGTTCTTGTAAATCTCCTTCCACCAGCAAGGTGAGAAATTCCTTAAGGAACACACACCGTGACCAGGAGGAGAGGTCAGCTCCTCTGGTGCAGGAGGAAGCCTGTTATTGCCTCCCCAGTGGGCCAAGCCCTGGCTCATACAGGCAGAACCTTAACCAGCAATTTCAGTATTTGTGTGGAGCAGCCCCAGGGTGGGGGACAGGAAGCAGGCTGGAAGGGGGGCAGGTAGGGGTGTACATCTTTTCAGACCTGTTCCTGACATTTTAAAGACCTAGGACAAGAGTACTGACAAGAGACCCACATACTATGTATAAATATTTAAAAGCTACTAAATAAAATATGCTGCGTGCTTGTCCTTTACAAACACCTTCATAAGCACTGGGAAGGTCAGGGTGAAAATTAGAACCTGGACATCTGGATTAGATCATGGTGTGGGGAGAGCCAGCCCTGCCCCTGACCATGGCCTGCCACCTTCTCTTCCCACTCATGGCTCTGTCCTGCCTGGAAGTACAAAATCTGGCCTGCATGTCCAATTTCCAGACACATTTGTGCCAGCACCATCCTCAGGACGCCCTTGGCCCTTGGAGGGTACAAATGGGCGGTCAAGTTGGAGAACAGATGGAAGAATCTAATGCAAGTCCATAGAACCTGGGCTTGGACAGAGAATTCCAGAATCCTGGATAAGCCAGAGTGTGGTCTGGAAAGTATGGGGTGATGGTGGCACCAGTTCCTGATAGACATGTGCTCTCGCCCCATGGACAACTCACACCAAGGGGGGGGGCATGGCTGGCTGAGGGCCAGAGATCCTCAGTGCAGAGCCCCTCCATAGGTCCAAAGGCATTACTCTTATCCATGCTGGGTTCTGGATCACACAACCTTTATATATAAGCAGACCTCGGAGATGCTGCAGTTCGGTTCCAGACCATGGCGATAAAGAAAGTATCGCGATAAAGTGAGTCACACAAATTTTTGGTTCCCAGTGTGTATAAAAGTTATGTTTACATAATACTGTGGTCTCTTAAACGCAAAAGCATTATGTCTAAAAAAACTAATGTACATAACTTAATTAAAAATCCTTTATTGCTGCCCTAGCCGGTTTGGCTCAGTGTTTAGAGCGTCGGACTGAGGGTTCTGGGTGAGATTCCGGCCAAGCGCCCCCAGGTCAGGGCCCCTGCGGGAGGCAACCAGTCGATGTGGGAGATATCAGTGTTTCTTCTCTCTCTCTCTCTTCCCCCCC